GATTTTACAATATGATGATCACGGCTCCTTGATAAAAACAGATTTCTGTTCCAGGTGACATCAGAGTTCCTGGTATCCAGACCTTTCTGTGGGAAAGGATGTCTGGCTCGCTACAAAGGCAAATGGTCTCGTGTAGAGGTAAGATGGCACCGCTCACTCCAGCACAGACTTTGAATTATTAAACAAATCTATGTATGATTGATATTGGGCTGGTGTAGTTACCCCTGAGATTAAAAAAAGTGTATCACCATCCAAAATACTGCCTTATTCCCTGCACATAGCCTGCATACATTGTTTTACTATTTTCTAATAACAATAACAGCTTGCATTTTTATAGCACCTTTAAAGAGAACCAAGAGCGCTGTACAAATCTCACTATGTAGTCCTTGTAGTAATCAACAACACAGCAAGCCTATCATGATTTAGATTTTAAATGTAAGGTGGTAACAGGTACAGCAGAGACACACAAGGAAGACAATCTAACAGCCATTATAAACAATACTCTGTACCTCCATATACTGGTTGGAAACAAAATTTTTATTTTGTTTACTGCTGTGCCCATCCTGGCTTTTGTTGTAATTCTTTGACGCTGGGTTTCTGTCTTTAGATCACCAACCTTCACGGCAGCAGAGTGCTCGACATCATGTTCATTGATGTGGGTGTCCAGGCTTCTGTAGAGGTGTTTGAGCTGAGAGAGATCCCACCGCCGTTCCTCCGTGATCTTATGGCCATCCCGCCACAGGTCAGCGTCTTTGTCTTCAAAGTGCAGTGTGAAAAACAGTCAAGAGCAATGATGTGTTCATAGGGGATTTTTGTCAATGTGCTGCCATAGTGAGGGCAGCTTCATTATTACAGACCTACGGATTATCTGAGATAATGACATCCGGCTAACTGTGTTTAGGCTGTGAAGTGCTGTCTAGCAGACCTGGCCGTCAGTGTCGGATCTTGGACTCCGGATGCTGTCCAATGGCTTCGAGAGAAAGTGCTCAACACCACAGACTGTAGCATGAAGGTAAATTGCCTTCTTCCTTAACATAAAACACACAGTTTCTTTGACTTCAGTCTTGTTTGTCGTCATGAGATGGATGGCGACAATGATTTGATTTAGAAATCACTCAAAATATGCCTTCATGACTACTAGTAGTATTTTCCTCATGTCCGACGGCAACCATGTTTATAGATCTTTGTCCTTCTCTTCTCTGCTTTGTTGCATCCTGCCTCCCTCTGTTTTTCTTCTTTATGTACCTGCACACTCACTTTGACATTTCCCCCCCGAAGGTTGCCAAAGCAGATGATACCAAGCGTTGCATCTACGTCCACCTTTTCACCGACAAGAACTTCCACGACCCGGCCCGCAGCCTCAACCATCAGATGGCCCAGTCTGACCTGTTCAAAAAGCGACCGGATGTTTTCCTGACGAGCCACAGGTCTCTGCTGCTTTTATGTTCACCTGTATTATTACAAGAGTTATACCTCACACACTAAATGTCTTGTTTGTTAATTTAATTCCACAGCCCTGCCAAGATCTCCACAGCCAGCTTATCCTCCAAGACTTCCAGCAACAGTGACTCCACCAATGGGAGTCCAGTGTCAAGTTCTGTCCCAGCCAAGCCTCACCTCAAGAGGGCTCTATCAGGACCCAGAGGAGGTGGAGGTGGCAACACGACCACCACCAGCCCACCAGAGACACCGTCATCCCCTAAATCTTCTCTCCAGCTGCCACCATTACTAGATCTGCCCCCGACAGGTAATAAAGAAAGTGGGCATCCTAGCCATTAAAGACAAAATATTCATTAAATCAACTGTGTATGTATTAGTGTCAGTTCAGGCCAGTATTTGGCCTCACTGGAGCGGAGAATATCTCGTGTTCTCATGTCTGTCTTTTTCTTCTCAGGAAACAACGTGGACGTCTATGTATCAGTGGCGTGCCATCCCGGCCACTTTGTGCTGCAGCCCTGGAGAGATATGTACAAACTGGTGGTGCTGATGGGAGAGATGATTCTCTACTACAATAAAACTGAGGAGAAACCACTCAACATACAGAAGAATCAGATCTACGCTGCTAAAGTGGAGAACAAGTGAGTTAAGCAATGATTTGATTTCATTTTATGAAAACAGTGAGCACAACTGAAAAATATGGTCTAGATATGTTCTGAAGACCTTGACCAGTCTGGATACTGCTTCTAAACATTGAACAGCCCTGTTTCAAAGCCAGACTATTATTAAAAAGTATTATTTAGTGCATTTGTGCCTTGTTTCTGTCTGTTGTGAAGCAGTTGTGCTTTGCCTAATTATATCAACTCTTCCTCCTCCTCTTCTCTCAGCTGGCATCGTGTGTTGGTGAAGGGAGTTCTGACCAATGGGTTGGTGTCTGTGTACGAGCTGGACTACGGCAAACATGAGCTGGTCAGCTGCACCCAGCTCAGACCTCTGATCAAAGAGTTCAGGCAGCTGCCGTTCCAGGGAATCACAGCTCAGCTGGCTGGTGAGTAGAGCGGACATCCACACAGAGCTCGAGTCTAATGGCTGTTACTAAGGTCATGTCTGAACTCCAGCGGTGGAATGTTTCTAAGTACATTTATTTAAAGTGGTCATATTATGCTCATTTTCAGGTTCATCGTTTTATTTATGGTGTGTACAGCAGCACCTCTTTTCACCCTGCGTGTTTAACGTTTAGTTTTAGCTATGGAGTGAAGCATCTCTTGATGCATCTACAATTTGGCCCAGTTTCCTTTGGTGCCTGTCCCCACTCTTCCATTTTCTGTTTCTGTATTTTAATTAAACACGACGTTTAGTCAGTGAGCACATTAGCAAATAATTCAAATGGCTATGACCCTAGCAAGCGAAGTGTCTACCGGGCATTTCTTTTATGTAGCATTAAATGCGAACATATCATCATACAAGTGAGCCTTACATTCAAACATGTCTCCCTCGCAGGAGTGAAGCCGAGGCAGTGGTCGGAGGAAGCTTCCATCGTTTTCAGGAACCACGTGGAGAAGAAACCACTTGTGGCCCAGCTGGAGGCCGTACAGGAAGCCGCCAACCCGTGGGACAGGAAGTTGACAGTCTTCCTGGTCGACACTTCACAGGAAGAAAGGGACATCTGGGTGCATGACATCATGGCTGAATTTGCAGATGAGCTGACCAACGAGCTGTAGACGACAGAAGGTCGTCAACGAGTCTTGCTAGCCAAGCAGTTCTCCTGTTGCTCAGTGGAGACACTGTGAGTTGTGGGTAGACAAAATAGAAGAAGCTTATCCATCTTTATCTATCTACCATTTAAGGGGGCGAAAAGAAGAAATGAATGAAGTAGTTACAAGAAGAAGGGAAATAAAGTGAGAGGTTTGATAGCATGTAGAGACTGGCATTGACAGAAAGACAGGAGGTGTAGGTGTTGTAGCCACTTGCTTGTTGTGTTTTGGACTGTGCATCGAAGGACATTGTGATGTGATTTTGGGTGACTGCAGTGTGACCATTGGACAGTACGCTCATGCATGATGTTGGTCCAAACTTGCCACAAATACTCAAAAAAATCCCATCAGCATACGGTACGAAGCTGCTGAATCTATCCCTAATAGTCTCACAAAGCTGTGGAAATGACACAACATGCATTCTTAAACCATTCGGTATGGGCTTTGATCCAAAGCAGCATCTTACCCTACAGTATCGTGAGTGCATCCAGTTTTAGTGTGTGTCATCCTGGGGACGCCTGAATACCCTCGACCCTGCCAATGTGAGTGCACAAAAGTAAGTTCAAAGTAACTCGTTCTCTCGTGCTAGGAAGACTTACATGCATTTGTTTACAAAATCTGCTTTCTGGATGGTATTTCTGATCGTCATAACGTTTAAAACGTTAGAGCAAACATTCCCCTAAGAGGAGAAGAAATAGATGAGTCAAAGTTTTCGGAGACAGACGTAATGTAGAGAGTCTTTACTTTGCCCAAGCATGATTTTTCAGTTTTGAGACAAATCTATCTCTAATTTTGAGATGAATTTAGACATACTCAAAGACAGAGTGCAATATTTGCCTTCTTGCTAATCGAGGGGAAGTGTCTTAAATGTCATGATGAACAGTTTTGGCAGCTTTTTAGTAGCTGGCCAAGAAAGACATTTTTAAGTTAATTTGTTTGGTGAGGAGTGATATACTGATGTGAGAGATGTCGGGGTTTTTCTTATCTGCACATACAGTAGAACAGCCTTTTCTTGGAATTTTCCATTGAAGGCTGACAAACATTTTTTAACAAGTTATTTTGTGGCCAAGTGTGAACAAGATGAATGTGACTCAAATCTGTTTTGTGCAGAATAAAACCCAGACAGTTCCCCGGACAGGTGTAAATTGTGAGTGCATTCGTGAAAGCCCAGCTCCTGACTCCTGTGACGGCAGCGTCTCATCCATCTCTTCTCCTCCATGTGAAACATTGATTCCAGTGTGACTTTTTGCTTTTTAGGAGTAAAGGAGTATCTCTCCATTTCCTGTCTGACGGCGAGACTTCAGCCGATCACATGTGCTGCATGTTGCAGATCTTTCTGAATTGCGTGCACAAAAACAGTTTGATGTTATAATAATAAGCAGATTAGGCTACACGTAGTATTAAGCTTTTAGATTTTCAAATAGGAGATAAGTTCTGCTTGTGGTTGGTTCCAGTGCCGCCATCAAATGTTGGCCTGATGTGGGATTTTATTCTGAAATGTGACCTTTTTTCCTGAAACACCTGCGCCGTGGTTTTGGATGCTCAAACGCTTTACCAATTCTGCAGACAGTAGACCTGACAAAGCTCAAAGCTGCATTGTTGTTAACAACTGACATTTAATTTATATTTAACTTATATTCTCTAGATGATAATTACTTTATCATTTCCATTTTGTCTGACAACGACCTGGAAGTAATAAAAATCTTGTTTTTGGAAGTAAGTCTGTTTGAGAGGTTTTCATGTGATCAGTCAATTCAATTATGTTACAATAGTGTCATGCTGTTGAAATGAAAGTGAAGAAAACTCACATGATTTTCATTTCTTTATTAAAATAGCAAAAGTTTTCAGTCTTATTTACATGTTATATCGCTGCAAAAGATTCATCTGTCTAACAAGACAACAAACTACAATAAGGAGTCATAGACTGTTCATACAATTAGAGTCAGGCACACATGACATACAAGTCTATACCTACATTACAAACATTACCAAATTACTATTTGTTCGTAGGATTAACTTTGTGGACTGATTCTGAAGCATTAGTGCCTCCTGTCCTCGTCAGGCTCTTCAGCCGCTAACGGATGGAGAGCATCATCACAAACTCTGAAGAGGAGGAGAAAGAAGACAAAACGAGTCAGTGGTGACTTTATCTGAAACACACACACACACAGGTTAATAAGTCAACCGCATAAATTTGCTTATTTTCACCTTCAAAGTCAATGTTTCCATCTGCGTTAATGTCCAGCTCCTTTAAGATCTCCTCCAGTTCTCCTTTCTTCAGCTTCTCTCCCAGCATCGTCTTGACCGCCTCCTTCATCTCATCCTGGTTGATCTTTCCATCTCCGTCGAGGTCAAACTTTTAGAAACAAGAGAAAGTGATGAAAATGGGTTGACAACATGAGGTGGTTTTACTTTGGAAATGTCAGTAAGTCAAAGTGGAGGATAAATGCAACGAAATTCCCCAAATTAACAGGAGTTCATGTTCTATACAATTTAACTTGTAATTGATCCTATTATTAATACTTTTTGCTTTTCATTCAAATAATGAGGTGCATTCAACCTGATTTATGTTTAGATTGGCTATTTTTATGTCTGATATATCAGCTCACGTTTATAAAATTCATCTGGCTGACTTTCCTTACTTTCCTTTCGCTGGTAGTTAACAACCACATGGATTGTTTTATCATCAGCTGACTGACCTGTACGAAGGCCGATTGGAGCTCCTTGAGTCCCAGCATGTCAGCAGTCTCTCCCATCATCCTGGGTCCCATCAGTTCAGTAAAGTCTTCAAAATCCATTAACCCGCCCACTGTGGAGAGGAGAGATGTCAAGGGCCACAAAATGGAAAAATAATAAAAAATAAAACGCCTTTTTATCTATTGTGTGTGTATTCTGTATAATTTTTAAAGGGTCTCTTATCAGCTCACTTCTCATCTTGATTTGTTGGACTATCTCCAGCAGCTCCATTTCTGTGGGCATGTATCCCATGGTCCTCATGCATTCAGCCACATCCTTGTAATTCAGGTATCCATCTTGATCGTAATCAAACTCTTTGAAGGCCTCTTGCAGCTCTGCAAGAAAAGTCAGAGACCACAGCGAGATTACAGCAGTTCCAGAAGTGGTTTATCAGGTTGAATTGGTTGAGTGTATGCCACTGGTGCAACGTCACAATCCTAAAAGTACTAAGTTCTAAAATATTACAGAACAGAAAATCCAGTTTTGGGGAAAGAAAGCAGTCTGTTCTAGTCCAGTAATCTAATCTTATGAATGGCCAAGTAAGAGTAAAAAATTCATTTGTCAACTCTTTTTCAGTGTTTCTGAAGAAGATGAATTAATTGAATTACAGTTAAGAGGAATTTTTTTTCACACAGACATCACAAACCTTTTAGGTTTCAGTCCAGTTCCATATAAATTCAAAGACTGCTTTTGTAAACTTTATAGAGTCAGTTACAAGGGAGCGTTTTTATGAATGTGAAAAATGGGCAGGAAAAGAGAGGCAGGAGAGACACTGGAATGATGAATCAACAAAAAATCAATACTGCTTCATGAGTGTGAGTTTGTTATAACAGTAACTGATCAACATGCATGGCAATGTGCTTGTTTGATTAACCATTTCAGTCATGAAATACTGACAGAGGGTGTTTAGGCTTTCTGGTACTACTACTTGGGATGCAACTATTAATATGTTAACACTTGTAATATCTGTTATCTTCTTTAATGTAACACTTACCGTCCAACTCAGCCTGAGCTAATTCTCTGTCCTGCAGAAACAAAAAACAAAAGCGTTGGAATACAAATCTATTTTTGTCATTAGGAAGATACATTTGCACTGTGCAATATCAAATACCAACAAAGTATCTTAACACCATTATTTTTAAGTAATAATATAAGCATGAATATTAAAATGATGCATGTTAATGTCAGAAGTGGACACACACGACAATTCTCAGGTATGACCATGTTTATAAATCAGTTTCAACATATGTACAATAGCAGAAGGCAAATATTTTGAATCAACCATGTGTTTTTGCAGTGCTCTTCATTTGGATAACACTAATCAAGTGCGGCAGTAAGCCTCAACTAATGAGCCCCTAATACTACAGACACAGGGCTTAGTGAAAGCTCAAGGCAGACCAGGAACGAAACTTGAAGTACTCTGCCTGACTTCCACCTCACTTTTGACGTCTGACATTAACAGTCTCTGACAGTACCTTCAAATGGTAACGAGCATCCGCTGTATTGTGAAGATCTATGCCTTTAGATCTTAATCATATAAATTATAGATTTTGGTAGAAGGCCACAGCAGAGGTCATGTACCATCATAGCCAAGAAGAGGATCCTCACATCCACTTCAACTGTACGGTATTACTGAACGTTTAAATAACAAAATGAGAGTGTCTGCTACTTACCGCCCCAAATACACTGTTGAGCACAGAGTTGTATACTTTGTTCATACTCTCTGTGTTTTTCTTGACCTTCTTTGATGATTTCTTGGGCGTTTCAGAGACTGAACCTGGTGGTGTGTCCGTGGGGGCACTATCTTTGCTACAACGTGGAAAAATCAAACAATAATAAATACCAAAAGGGAGAATACGTACCTTACATGTCAACTTAGATTTGATTATACAGTGGAAGGTTTTCTCAATACATATCAGCAGCATTGGCACATGAACTTTACTGCTACAGATAAGAAATACCTACTTAACATGTTTCTCTTGGGTTATATATTTGGTGGTAGGTCAACTGAATACATCAGGGATTCATACAAAGGATGGCTGAAAATTTGATTGTCTGTCACACTCAGACACAAATTCTGTGAGAACTATATGTGAATCTAAACGTACCCGTCTGATGTGGCTGAGTTGACTGAAGTTGTAGAGGGCGTCCTCTCTCCCGCCTTGGACATGCTGTGGATAAACAGAGACATACACTGTGAATCCAATGGTAACATTTACTGCTAGTTACAGTGTATACATGCAAAAGGAAAGGTTAGGAGAGGATTAAAATCAGGTGTTATCAAAGTACTTCAATGTTAAAGTTATTTCTTTGGTGGTTTCACTGCAGATCTTTGATTTCCCAGCCATCTCCAACATCTTAAATATGAATCCAGTTGCTTCACTGCAATGTACTTACCTTAATGCCCTTTCCTAAATGGTGAGAAAAGAAAACAAGAAGCCGAGCAGCACAGCCCTTCTCTTCCTCCTTGAGCGGTGCTCCACTTCTGTTGTGAATGGCTGCACATTATCCTGTCCGTTCTGTTTTTCCTTCCTCTCTTGACCTCCTTCCGTCACAGAGGCTTAGCAGGTAATTACCTGGCTAAACATGCAGCCAACGATTAGAAAGCAAAACGTGGAGCAGCAGTGTGACTGGTGTGCCCTTCAAGAGGTCAGTTTTCCAATTCAAGTGTCTTTATTTGGAGGCTCTTGTGATTGTAACGAGTCTCCAAGTTTTCATGTTGGCACTTTAGCCTTGCAGAGTTGCTCTTGGTTCTACAGTGAGAGGGTTTGTGGGCTGGTGACTTAGACTGTGTTAGGATAATGCCAGCAGTAGAGAAGTCATATGGAATCAATGGTGGATTGAAAAATTACATAATACAAGTACAAGATTTGATCACACACATCATTTCATGTCAATGCATAGGCCTAGTGGGACAAAAAAGTGAAGTCATGTCCAATCAGAGAGTTTTGGGGCCAATAGTGAACCCTTCCATTTGATTGAATTAAGAGTTTTGATGCAGATATAGGCTATGTTTACATGTTTACTACTAGTCCTACTATTTTTGACCAAATACAATAGTATGATAGAAAAGCTCTGACAAACCAGTGTATGGAACTCTAAGATGAGAAGATTTAGCAATAAACAAGTGTGTGTAGCAGAAAGACAGGTTTTTAGCTTTTATGATTCAATTAATTGTATGGCCACCATTTAAAATGTTCTGTTTTGTTAACATATATTTTTTATTTTTATATATTTGTTTTATATTTGATTTGCAGCAGGATGACTGAGTTTTAAGGAGTTTTTAAAATTAAACACCAGAAACATAAAATCAAGTCCTGCTTCATTTGCATAATGTCGGCGTGGCGCACGTGTAACGTAGTCTAGCTACTTCCTCAGGAAGGCAAGAGCCTAAATCACCTGAGCTCAGGTAGGCAGGCTAACGTTAGATCAGTTTTATTGATAAAGGTAACTTTTTTTGAGTTTAGCGGAGGAATTGTGTTGTCATGAGTGGCGCATGTCGCCCCCAACTTTCTTCCCAGGTGAGGTCTCTCCCTGGAAAAACTGAACAAACTTCTGTAGCTTATCAAGGTAATTTAACTTTCATGTGGGTAACTTTACAGTCGCAGTTGAAAGTGTCGAAAAAACCCATTAGTTTTTAGGTAGCTAATTGTCATAATTGACGGAAACAGCCTGCTCTTCCCCTGCTGCTGTAGACTGTAGGATATAAAAGACAGTCCATGGGCAAATGTTTGAGCCCTCAGAGTATGTTCATTAACTTACACACTTGTGGCGTAGGAAAAGGAAAATACGGTATTCCACCAGATGCCGCTGAAGTGTGTTATGATCGGATAAACTACTTTCATGTGCAACAATCTTTTTTTTTTTTTTTTTTTTTGGCGCCGTTTATTTTATTTTTCAGAAGTACGGACTCACACAACTGTAGACTATATAAAAAACACCCACTGACTTATTTTCTTCAAGTGGAGCTTGGCTGTCCTTTGTTGACTACTAAATAAAAATGGAACAAATAATAGGAAATGTTTTGGTCCTGCCAGACATTCATTGCACTGCACAAACAGGTTTGCTCGTTTTGATTTAATCCCACTTCTCTTGGGGAAGTTGTAGAAATATAACATTACAGTGAACAGTATGGCAAAGCATGATGGGAACATGCTTTTTTTTTGAGACGTCACACAACTGGTGTACAAGTTTAAACCATGGGACCTTATTTCAGAAAAAAAATTGCTTGTTATTTGATCTGTTTGAAATGTGCCCTGAATTACACACGTTTGTCAATGTAATAGATAATGTCCATAAATAAAGTTGCAGTTTTGAATGAAAACAGTTCAATGAACTACATCTCTGGTCTCGTAACTTACCAACATGTCAGCGCAGTAATACTAGCTAATGTTTATTAAAAACAACACAAGCTGATGCAGTTTTAATTGCCTTTTGCTTCAGAGATCCCTGAATTGATGAGATGTTTGAAGTCTTTTGAAAAGGCAAAAAAGCAAGGTTTCTTATCTGCGAATTTAAATTAATAAAAATTTGGCCATAATAATAGGGAGATTAATTAAAGTGTTTCTTTGTATGTTATTTTCTGGGAAACCAAACAATACATTCTTCCAAAGCAAAGCAAAACTTTCAAAAATATCTTCTAAAATAAAGGCATAATTTTTTCTAGAAATTTTTGACAATAGGAAAATGCCAAAACAGATGCATAACCGTTTCTGGACAATCAACCACCAACAAAACTTCACTTCAATATCTTTCCTAAATCTGTACTTAATGTAGTTTTTAGCTGATAGCATTTATGTATTAATTTAAAATTTCTTTGATTTTATTGGTTATTAAGTATTGAGCGATGCCTTCTTCCATACTACATCATCCAAAAAATTGATTCCAGTATGAAATCACATATGATACTATAGTAATGAAGCTTTTGTTGATCTGTTATTACAGGAACAAATTTTACCTATACAAGTGTCGTTTGTGGTCTTTGTAACTGTTGTACCTCAACAGTTTTGCATCAAACTGTGACTTTCTTTACTTTCAATAGTTCTCTCTTGCCATTGACTATCGTGCATATTTTTTCCGAAGTAAGATCCCGTGGTGGTCCACCGGAAGGGGAGGGACTTTGGCTCTCCATAAAGCCCATTTGTCACTGTCCAGGTACAAATCTGGATAAGAGATGTTATCCACACATTTGCAGTGTTTTTATAGAGAAGAATTCCAGAAATATAAAGAGGGGTTCATTTATGTTGTAGTCCTTAATTATTGTGGTCATACAGACAGGTTTAAAGCATGTTGTGTTGTAGAACTCAATGAGGGATGGTTATAGCAGTGCTTCCCAAAATCCATCTTGTGTGATGTGAGACGATTAACAGGATGGGAAAACAACAATTACATCTGCAACTGGAAGCAATGTTTTAATCTTGTCTTTTATCTTGTGATATTCAATTACTGGACATCTCAGGCCTTTAAAAACACATTCAGGTCCCTCCATCCATGTGGAGGACTGCGACTAGACATGATGTGTACATTTGAATGGGTGTCACAAGCCAAAAAGGTTGGGAACCGCATGCTTTCATTCATCTCAAGTGTACTGCAACTTTTTTTACATGCAATATATTATTTGTAATTCTGAAACATGTCTGATTTTATGAGAGCAGTCTCATTTGCCCCAGCTTTTTTTTGGTCTCGTGTCGTTCCACTCTTTCACCGCTGGGGGGCGACATTACCTGCACTCTGTCAAGCCTACCACGCTTGAGGTTTTGCCTGCTCAGTCACAAGGCTGGCTTTAACCTACATGCATTTTATAAATTCCACTGTAATCTTTTTTTCAGACCTGATTTCTCAAGGAACATCTTTTTTCAACAATGGTAACTGTTTTCAATGCAATGCCGTGCAGCTCTGGTGGCTTCTCGGGAAGTGTTTTTGAACTGTGTGTACGTTCACGTTGGTGTTTATTCTGGTACTGAGGTCAGTCTGTTTGCCCTTTTAACTGGGAACAGTCTTGCACAACCCTTTCCTTTTCCTAGTCAACCCGTCCACATGCTGAAACAGAACAGGCATGACTCCAGCTGAATCCAAAAACTTTATTAGAAAACAAGAAATAACATGAGAAATCGCCCTCACAGTTTGGAACAACTTAACAGAGAACTACAATAGACAAACATGTTTTTTCATAATAACATAAATGTGACTAGAAAAAAGTATCGTTTAGTGTCGATACAACCTTTTTGATGTGTGCTATTTTCAGTTTTTCTCCTTTCCTTGATTCGTTCAGGAATGTTAAGGTTGTATGCAGGTTTGATTAAATGCTTTATTTTTTTATTATGACAACTTAGTATATCCAATTTGCTAATTTCTTTAACTTGAGCAAACTTGGTTAGGCACCATTTGATTCTTTCAGTTAATAGCTTACATAGACAGTTGTGGATGTATTTATTTTAGTATGCTGTTTTCTTGTTTCTATGATTGTTTACATGAAACAATATGCATTTGCCCTGGACACATAGATTCTGCTCGGCCATGTGTCCCCGTTACGTTGTCCAGAGAATACGTGCTGTGTTTGTACTCGGCCCTCTGTTCAATACTTAAACACACCGTGTTGTAACTGGAAAGTTACTCCAGTAACATAGTAATGTGTCCCGTGGAATAATGCCAACAAACACAACTGCTTAAGTTAACTTATTTTCTAACCAGCTGGTTGTTATTGCCATTTGCAAATTGGTCCCTTCTCTCGTATACACTGTTCTGTTCCTTATATCCACTGCCCTTTCATAGTCATCACACCCTGCTCTTGTGTTCAGTTCCCTTCATATTCTTCGTCTAATGGCCTTTCTCCCACCCTCCCCCTCTTCCCCTTCCTCCCACCTTCTTCTCACACCCAGACTTTTCCCTTCCCGCTACTGCTGGCTCCGTCTCGGCCGCCGCAGCAGCCAGTGCCCAGGCCCCGGTGCTGGGTGGCCGGCAGGTTCTTGTACACGGCCCGGCTGTACGGTATGAAGCACAGGCCCAGCTGGAGGTGTCGGGCCAGGCGGCAGTATGCGGCCAGCGCCAGGACCAGCAGAGGGGTGACCAAGAGGAAGCCCACCACCAGCAGAGCCACACAGCCTCCGTCAGTCAGCAGGTCTGAGCAGTAGGGGGTCGTCCCGTGAGGGCGGACCTGGGGAGACGAGAAGAGAAAGGCAGCAGTTGAATGATGTGGCGGAGAGCTAGGTTTCTCATTCAACCTGTGTAAACATTTTTTAAACCTTTCATTCAACAGGGTAGCTTCACTGAGATGTCATGCATTTTCGGGAATGCGCCACTCTCACACATTCACACCTGGAATTTATTATCGTCTTGGGTTTATTAATGTTTAGAGAAAACCTTCTTTGCTTTCAGACTGAGGTCAAAGGTCACGGGCAGCTGCAGACTAACTGAGCCTGCAGACACTTTACAGGCCCAGTTATTCTGCACAGACCAACTGCACAGTGGATGAAGATGTGACAGTGACATCATTCCCTGTTCAGCTGTGCTATCCGAAATGTCGCTGCAAAACGCCCAGCACCAATTTAGGATGCTGTTTGAGTCTCCTGTAAATCTACTGCAGTTATATTTTCAGCTCTGCCATGTCAGGCAGAGATACTGTTGTGGAACAGACTTGATCATTCAGTATTCGATTGGTCTTTGTACATCAGCAGCGATTTAAATACATGTGTAAAGGGCAGGGAAGAACAGATGGCGTGCTCCATGTGGTATGTGTGTATGAGGTGAGGACAGACACCAGTTAGTAGTGATAGTAGAGAGTTGGTAGAGACATAGCGCACACACACACACGCGCGCATGATCTAAATCAGAAGCCCACAAAACATAATTTTGACAAATATCAATAAAACTTCCAGGAACCATCATAAGCGTCTCTGATTCAAAGCTGTTTATCAGTATATACTGCACATGAACGCATGCACACTTGTTGCTGAGCGGTATCACCGGGGGAGTGGTAGAGGAGGTGAAAGGGTCGGGATTTGAGTGTGGGAGCAGAACGGAGAGACAGCA